GACTTGGGACAGGCACATACAAAATGTGGCGGGGTTAATATAAATAAGAAGATGTGGTATGAGTGCCAATGAGACAACTCTCCATCCAAGTCAAAATGTATAAAAAGTTAACAATTATAGGTGAAAGTACGGCCTTCAACACTGAGCCTTGGCTCTCACCGAACATCAAGCTATAAAGGGCCCCAAAATGACCAGTGTAAAACAATTCAAGCAGGAAAACCAATATTCTAATCTATATATAAAACGAGAAACACCTATGAACCACACTAACAAACAACAACCACTAAACAACAGGCTCCTGACTTAGGACAGGTGCATAAAAATGCAGTGGGTTTAAACGTTTTAACAGGCGCCGACCTTCATCCTAACCTGAGACAGAAACAGACACACCATAAAATATCAATTGACATGGCTTAACTCGATCAAAAAGACATTTAAACAAAAACAAGTAAACACAAACTGAACGAATAAGTTTGATCTATGACACAATTTAAATACAATTTTAAAACGTAGGTGCCTATATAACAAAGACGTTACAGGTAGTAATAAAAAAGGTGTAGGAAGAGTGTCAGTAAGAAAACTCTTACCTGGGACAAAATGGCGTTAAATAAAACAACGTTGACAGGTAAATTTAAATATAATAATTTTGGTGTTAGGAGAACGGAAGTAAACATTTTTTACAAAATTAATTTGTTGTTCAGAGTACGAGTACAGAAGTGAAAATTTATCGTCATACTAAATATTTATCAAAGGTTGTACATATAAGAAATAGTGAGACGAGATATAACACAAAATAGGTAAACATTGAATTATAGAAATACATTACAAATTGTGTCAACAGGTCAAATTAACACAAAAGTACGATTTGAGAGTACTCGCAGTTACGGAAAGCTAGTTAAAAGCCAAAAACAATTAACAATAAAAAATAATACATCAGAGACTAAAATCAATTAAAACACATCCCAGGGATTTAGTGTTTTAACGCCAAAGAAGACATGACATGAGCAATGCCAAAATAAAAGTATCGATAGGCAGTAGGATCGTTAGGATTTAACCTTATGATAAATACTGTGGATTCATTAATATTCGTTGGATACTAATTTTCGTGGATTTCGTGGATACAGGTGAACCACGAAATTAAATGTTCAACGAATGTCAAATTTTCTATAGGCTTGTATGCAGACTTCAGCAAAACCACGAAATTAAATATCCACGAACATTCAAGTTTTCCCTAATCCACGAAAATTGGTACCCACGAAAATAAATGAATCCACAGTATGTATCATGTAATATATAGATATATCAATCTCTAAATAGAAAATTAAAGTGAATGTGTATTTATACATCCCAAAAACTATTCGAAAAGAATACAAATTTAGTTATGTTTTAATTTATTGATGACAAAGTCGATGTTAGTGCCAATGTAAACAATATTCGAAGATCTTATTACAACATTAATAAGATCATCTTTATCAATAAGTTTGTTTAAAGGGTCGATGAGTTTACACGGATCACATGTTTGTGAGCGCTCAACCCTCCCCCTAACCTGGGACAGTGGTGTAACAGCACAACATAATAACAAACTATCAAAATCTGTTGAAAAAGGCTTAACTCAGTCTTACATCCAAACACTTCAGACTGAAAATTTCATATCTTCTCTCAATTATAAAATGGTTAATTAAAGCTGTAAATCTGTTATCTGATGCTGATAAAGGTACAGATAATATTACTTAACAAACATATGTCTAAAACAAAAAAATTGAGTTTGTAATAACAGTAGAGATGATAATACAAAATGTGTCCAGTTTCTGATATTACCATTCCAGGACAGAAACAATGAAATTAATTGAAATTTTGATTATTTTAACATTTTATAACTAATGATGGAAATTAAATATCAATAAGGATGAAGGAAAGTTTGTGATGTTATATTTCCCTACACATTAAAAAAAAATTGAAATTTTTATTTGTCTTCCTATAATTTTTAATTTGTATTACATGTTTACATTTGTAATTAACTAGATATTCACATTTGTATTTACTATTAATTTATTCATGCAACAATTACCACCAATTATCAAGAAAACTAAACATGTGGTATTCATCAACTAACAAACTTATAATTGTAGTGACAAATTTATTTGAAAATTTTTGTGTTTTCTAAGTGGTGTTGGTGATAAGCAGATTTTCCATCCAACATCATTTTGATGCAAATTATTGGGCATAGTTGTAGGACTGTAACTCATCAGATCGATACAAAGCAGGTGATAAGACAAATAATGATCGGTTAGACTAACTTAAACGACATAATTATTTGAACAAACTTAAAGTCTGAGTGCTTGGCTTTGGTTAAACGTACATAATGATCACACAGATGAATATATCTGAAAGAGAGGCGAAAGATACCAAAGGGACATTCAAACTCATAAGTCGAAAATAAACTGACACCGCCATGGCTAAAAAAATGAAAAAGACCAACACACAAACAACATTACACAAAACACAATATAGATAACTAAAGACTGAGTAACACGAACCCCACCACAAACTGGAGATGATCTCAAGCATAGATTTTATTCACTTTCGCTCATACTAGGCACGTTTATTACCTTTAAGTTCACCATTGCAACCATTAGTTGATTGGCGCGATAAATTTATTGCGGTTTCAGCTCAAACGAATTTGTTCCTTTAACTGGATTAGCCATTGGTGTTTCTTACCTAATGCATACCTTCTATGATATTACGTCGACTGACATTTGCATATATTAACGAACTGTTAATAGTTTTTATGTCTTTACATAAAGAAAATATAAACATATTTTGGCCTAGTTGACTTACCTATACGAAGTTTTGAGAGACCGCGGAGTAAAACCTATATATAAACACCCAATCATACCTTTATGAATCGGATTTACGAATATTTATAATCACCCCTGGAATTGTGAAAAAAAAGTTTATGTGTATACCTACGAACATCTTATACTTTGCCACAAATTTTCACAGATTGTAAAACAAAAGGGGAAACATTAGTATTTAGATGGTCATACGTACTTTTATTTGAGCGATAAAATTTAAGGTACATCTCTTTTTGACTGAACGGGAAGTTATTTCTAAATGAAGGCATGTTAAACCTTAAATACTCTTACCTCACAAACCTTTTACTTTTTGTTTATTGTTTTTATGGTCTTGAATGTACGTGTTATTGGAAAATATCCAAAAGATTTTAACATATTATCAAATTTAAGTAGTTTATCGAAGTTCAATATATTAAAGGTAAGAATGAGTAAATAATATGCTCCATGATATCACGTCAATTATCATTACATTATCATTTATACCAATTGTGTTCTGTAAATATACAAGTGTTATAAATTATCATCAATAACTGTCTCAATCTCAATGGTGGAATTTGGGTTGCTGCATAATTTTTCATTTTATATTTATTTTCAATTCTGTTTTAATCATTAAAGATGACTTCTAAACCTATCACAATTAATATAATTTGATCTATTTTGTTGAAATTGTCAGATCAAGGTTTTTTTTTTGGTCAATTGCAGAGGAAGTCTTTTTTAATTTTTCGACGAAATAAATTTTGGCAAGTAGAGTGTTGTTGGGTCAAATCTGTATCGTAAAACAGTACACGACTAATGTTGAAATTATTCAACACGTGACAAACATTTTATTAACGATATAAATTATTTATGTTTCATCCGGATACAGTCCTTATCTTTTCCTGAAATGTCAAGACAATATTATCGACTAAACACCTACTGAACTATGCATGTATTTCAAAGGACAGGTATCGTATAACCCATTCAATACACGACGCTTCATTTTTAAGAGAATTTAAATTTGACATATTGCATTAGGAATTATTCAATATCTGGTATAAAAATAAAATGTTATTCCAACTTGATAAAACTAAATTACAGATACAAAGACAAGCATAACAAAATAATTAAAACTGCATAATCACACGACAATACAGAAATTAAGTGCGACAGGGCAAGTTAAAAACTATATCGGCATCCTGAGGGTAAAATTAATTGGACCGGTGAAATAATTTAATATGTAATTGATTCATCTGCATTCCTTTTACATATTTATTGCAAACAGCTAGATATAGCTTTCAAACTACTTACAGACGCATAGTTTTACAGGGGGTCGATACTGTTTCAGAATAAATTGCTGTAAACAAGTAAACAAGAAAAAAAAATGGTGAAGTCTTAATTAGGAAACTAATTTAAAAGCTAGGCAAAAATTGAGGACTCATATTTTTCATGAACAATTTTTTTCTGAATTTAGCACATTAACACATATCTTTTGTGTCTTTTATAATGCACAATACAAGCTAACTTATTTCAGAATATTAATGAAAAACAATAGAACCTGGCAATACGGATATTTTTTTTTTTACCCAAACTCTTAAATGTATGGTTTCTTACTGAAAGTAATTTACTTTCTTTTCAGAAATATTGTTCTCTTTTTGAAATTTTAATTGAAACATGATATAATGTTGATTTCAATATAAAACTAAAGCTGAATAAACTATAGTTTTTATTTTTTTAACTTCCTATTGACTTTAACAGATAGACTCCAGATAAATGACTATGCCACGAAAATTTTAAAAATTGTTTGTTTGTTATTGTTGAATGGTCAAATGGAAGTTTTTAGAAGTTGTATGAAAAGACTAGGTGAATATTTAAAAAGGAAAAACGATTAAACTGATAAAAAATGAGACGTTTGAATGTTCCCTATTTCTCATTAAAACGCTAAATTCATTAGTTATTTATTGCTGCATTGACGAAAATTGAGTTAAATTGATTTAACAAATGTCACTTCTTCATGAATTTTGCAGTATAAATGTTATTGTATTTTATATTTAGTTTCAGTTCCCTGACAACTGAATAAATAGAGACTCATTTACTTGTCGATCTTGTCAGTGTTATACAATGACACTCAATTAAACACATCCAAAGTGTTTTGAAAAAAGCGGGGAAAAACTTCACTACTTTTCATAGTAATTCAGTATGCACAACATGTACCGTCTGACGTTTTTGTTAGCTTTCTTATTTGCTTGGACATTATGTGAAATAGTTGTTATCAAAAAACAAAAAGACACAATATATAGTGGTCACGTGCTGTTTACGGTAGCTATACCAATGTGGTCATTGTGCGCCCAGTTTTGCTCGAGAGTGCAGTTGTGCAAATCTATAAACTTTATATCATGGAATAAAACTTGCCAGATAAATGATGCTGAACCGGGGGAAAGTAAATGTGGACTCATTGAAAGTACTGGAAATAGCTTTGTAGCTGCCTCGACCTTTCCAAAGGTAATAACGATATAAGATCTATCAAAACAAATTATGGGAAAATATTTCAGAACATTTATGATAATAAAATATCTTATATTATAATACTTATTTCGGAAAAAAAAGTCATATTTGATTATCATTTTTCGGTTTTAAGGATGTTTTGTCATAGAATAGCTAGTATTCAATGTAAACATATTTTAGTCTTTAGAAAGGCAAGTTTTCAAATGTTCTTAATATAGTCTGTAAATATAGAAACTTTTGCAATATTTTTATAAATGCGAAAAAGCGATAGTATCAGGTTTGCAATTACGAAAACTCTCATTTACATTTTTAGTGAAAAATGTATTTATATTGATAGATATCTAATTAAAGTTTCCATTGAAAACAAATCTGATAATTTGATATATAATTTGAATTGATTACACAATTATGAAATGACTCATACAAGTTATAAGACATTAAATGCCTATACGCCATATTGCTATTTATCCCTCATTTCAGAATATGTCAAACCTTGACGTAGAATTTGAATGACATTGCAAGAAAAATGGTGGTATTACATTGCAAAGGGGGTTATTGTTTGACATCATCAGGTCTAGTGTCGCAAAATTAGGAACAACTGTCACGGAAATCTAAATAGCTGGAATATTTGTAAAGGGCAGTTTTTATAACTGCTGGGCAAGTTAAAAATTTTCTGCTAAGGAATATCTTCATTAAATTCCTTAACATACAATACATGCATTAATGGCGATATTCATGTTGACCTTATGATCTCATTCATCAAGATTTTCTTTTGTGTCTGTATCTAAAAGTTTTGGCCTAGATCTTGATGGAAAAACTTTATTATTAAAATGGTCAGCGTTTATATATGACATAGTACACTTCTATTACACTATTATTCTGGAAAAAGAGTAGGTTCACAATAATACAAATTTTACACAGAAATAATAATAGTACGACTAGTAAACAAACTAACTTCTTTATTTATGAAGTAGGTATGAACCCTTAATTGTGAGAACTTTTATAATTTACCAAAACGAACCAGCCACTATGTAACCAACAACTTTTACTGGCAAATTAAAATTTTATATTGTATATATTAATTGCATATTCTACATTAGGTATCAAAACTAAAGCTAAGGTTGAAAAGATCCTAGTTTATGTTGACGTGACACGATTTTGACTGTTCTGTTTTAGATTTTATAACTTAACGGTTTATTTATTTGGCTTAACATTTTGTATTGAGCGTCCCTTACAAAATGTATTTAGATACGCATGAAGAAGGTTATTCTAGGAAAACGCACCATGAGCATTTCAACCAGTATCATTTATGTTCATTTAGCGAGATTATGTTGTTGGATATAACACAGATCACAGATCTTCCATTATAGAGTATCTTTCTTTCTCCGGTTCACATAGTTTGATGGTACTGCATTTTTATATACAAAAAAAAAAGTATCGGTGATTATTTTTGGGATGGGGTATGTATTGCATATTACATTCTTTGACCAGCGAGGGAAACGGATTAAAAAAAGTATAATTTTGAAATTTAACTGAATTAATTGTTTGTATTTTGTAACTGGTTGATTATAACTTTTCTAATCAAATACAGTAACTTTTTATTTTAGTAATACTTTATTGTGTTGCAATTATACATGCAACACCGTGAACATTAGTTATACATTTCATGCAAAAGACCAATTAAATTATACGGCATATGTTCAAGTTGCTACGCATTTTATCTTCATGAAAACATTTTTGGGAGAATTATGTTCTAAAATATTTAATTTTTAAATAAACATAGTCCAAAATCATTATTTTTACTTTTAATAATAATAGTCATGTGAAAATGTTCACTTAAAAATTCTAAAATATAAAATATAAAAACAAAAACAAACAAATAAAATTATTTCACAAAACTCAATGTATTGGACATGTTGAATGAAAAACAAATGAAGAGCAAGCCATGTTGACCTCTACCCAAATACTTAAAAGTACGAAACCCTGTAGAGCAAACCATGTTGACCTCTACTAGTAAGTCTAGAATGTTCGACAAAATAAAAACAAATCATTACTACCAAAAGAACAGAAGGTTATTTACTTACATACACAAATTATTAAGTCTTATGTAATGCTGAAAGGCATTGGACTTCAATCTACCCATGTTTTGAATCATAGCTAAAGGCACTCCTCTGAAGTAACAGCCCCAATTCTAAAACTGTGACCCTTATAAACATTTGCATCCAAACCAGCAAACAATAATAAACTTTTCAAAGACGAGTTAAAGTAAAATGATGAAACAGGCTTCCCACACTGAAATCTAAATAGAGGGCTTAGTTTATTATTTGACAACCGTAAATACTCCAGTAGAGCAGTAACAGGACAATATATATTTTCTTTAACCATAGGAATTGATAAAGTCTTTTGTTGCATATTACTGTGTTTTAAAATAATTTTAATGACTTTAAATAATTCGTTATTACACTTAATAATTATTTCTCCAATCCGTAAGAAGCAGAAACATGCCAATGACATCATAGCTTTCAAAAGAAATTGATTATGATATCCTACAAATCTTTTGGAATAGATTGAATTAATTTCTTAAGAATATCGTAGGTTATGGGCAACCTTGTATCAACTGAACTACGTAAGTATTTGGAACCTTTTGACATTTTCTTTACCAAAAAAGGTATCAATCGGGTCTTGTAAAAATCTTATTTTGTGTACATAGCTTATAGCAGAAATGTATGAAGCTATCGTAAAGGGTTGATAATTTTTAATAAAAAGATACGAAATAAAATGAGCGATCATGACACGAGTAGATGGAAGTAATTGACTAACTTGGAAAAAACGTTGTACAAAATTCTTGATACATATTTAACATTCTGTTATATTATGACACTGTATTTGAAGATAAGGATGCAGTAATGAGTTGATCCGTTACAGATTCAAAAATTTAGGTGGAATTTACACAGGAGAAGGATTTAGCCATGGAGCTATCCGATGAACTTTCTAAAAAGAAAATCGAGAAAACAGGTCATTAATCACATTGGTCTTTCCAGGAATATGATTAGCTTGAAAATTGATATTGTACTTCAAAGCAGCTAGCACAAATCTACGGACAAATTACATAATACTCTTTTCTTTTGAAAATGTTTTATTTAGATTTGCAGCAACCGCTGCATTATTCTGTAAAAACAAAATGTTATGATTGGCTAAAAAAGCACCCCAAATATCAATTGACAAAACAATCGTGAACAGCTCTTTTATTGTAATGGGCAAATTTCTTATCTCCTGTGGCCATTCACCTGCAAACTTCCAAAAACAGCAGCAAGCCCATAATGTTTCCCAGCAGCATCTGAATAAAGTTTCAAGACATCTGAGGAAACCCATTCGTCATGTTCGTTATATAAAAAACATGATTTACCATTAAAATCCTTAATAATAATATCCCATAATCTAAGATCTAATCTGGATGTCTAATCTCTTAGAGTTACACTACGTTTACATTTGTACTTACTAAGTAATAATGAATGTTTTGAATTTTTTTCCTCAGGTAAACGAGCAACCATCCGTACGGAATCAATTTCAATTCCATATATTACAAGACAGGTTGTTGGGAGTTGTGTTTTTTCCATTTTTATGGGAACCCCCACTTTCTCTGCAAGGCACATAAAATTGTGCAATGCTGTCAAACAATTATTAGTACCAGATTTTCCTACAAAGAAAAAATATCCCACTGAACTCCTAATAAATGATGATCTCTTTCTTAAATCGTTATGAAGCGAAATGCGTCCTTAATGTCACTTTTAGCCATTAGACACCGTGAACCAGACAACTGGACTAATTCTGTCACTGTCTCAATATTTTGGTATTGCACTGCTGATAAATCAGATCTTGAAAAAAAAGAATGTATTGAAACCCATGTGTAAAACCATTTATCAATTTCTCTTTCAACTGTTGATTGTAACCCGATAAAAATTTATTCAATTCATGAACTTTTACCGGAGAAGGAATGTTTGGCAGAGGTTGCTCGTTTAACTTGACCCTATGTACAAGCGAGGGTACAATGTTTATTGTTACAATGGACACACTGGTGTTTGAGTTTACAGTTTTTGGATGTACATTCCCCGACTTACACATGTTACAAAACGCCCAACAATAGCCGATGGGGAACTGAAATTTTGTTGGACCCTTCTTGGAAATGTAGTTTTAGAGGTTTTTATAAAGGAGTTTCATTCCTGACACGTGGAACTGTTTGACCGTTCAGTCAGAGATACAGACTTCCATAACTCGTCATTTATGGTATCCCATCTCAAATTTAGAATTTTTTTCACCCTTCTAAATTTCTCATTGTATGTTTTAGCTGCTTGAAACCCCAAAGATTTACATAAACCACGAATAGTATAACTATACTTTATCAAAGCCAAAGCAAAATTCAAAGACTTTCCTAAATAAATGGACATAAATATGTCAAAAGCATTCATCCACTGATGAATTGATTGGAGCTCCCTTTTGTTTTTCCCATTTGAAATAGTGGTATTAAAATTTTCAAATAAAGTTGAGGAATCTTCCTCAATATTAGACGGCAGCAAAAAAGCAAAATTCACATAATTATCTGCCCAAATATCATCTCTTTACTTACAACTAATATGAAAATCTAATGGTATGGAATGTTTTAACATATGACATGCATAGGGAGTGTCTACATTAGCAGAGTTTGAGTGGAACTGCTCACCAGCTATTACATCCGGATCCGAAGATAAGGGTGGCTGAAGTTTTGCTAATGATGAGTAATGGTCATCACTGTTATCATGTTGTACAGTTGCCAACGGGGTATACTTGTATTAACCGGAATCTGCATAGACTGGGATGTGCTTGCATGACCTGTTTGTGAAAAATGATGCAGTATGTTTGAAATCTCGATAGTCGGCATCATGTCATTGTCCTTTACTAGTTGAATGCCGGAATTGTGCAACTTTGCAAACAATGCTTCAGCAATGTCATTTGCGGATGGA